TACCTAAGTTTAATTTTGCCTAAAGTTTAATTTTGCCTGGAACATATATTTAAAGAATAAAAAAGTCAATTCCTATTTAGATAAGATTCGACCGTTTTTTATTTATCTAATAGGATATATTATATATTGACTAGATCTATTTATAATCAAAGATTTTACCAAGATGATTATTTATTTGTTAACTGACTATTTTGTTTTAAAATAATAATAATTATTTAATTAATTATAGATAAACGTCAATAACTAATCTTATCTTTTTAAAGATATTGACAATCAATTATTTATTTTATTTGATTTATATAATAAAATAAACAATATTTATTTGATAAAAAAAAAAGAATGTTTTATTTAAAGATATGATTAAACAAGAATCAAATTCATCTGAAAAAATCGTTAGTTGTTCATTTAATAATAATTGGATTTCATCATAAAAAAGGTCATCAAGTGTTTGATTTAATAATTATTTAAATAAGAAGAAAATGTTTGAATTGAATTAAGATTGAATATAGTTATCCATTATTAAATGAACCAATTGATGAACGTTGGTCAAATCTAGGTAGATTAGCATTACCTAATGGTGTACATCAAAGAGAAAATGATTTAATTTATTTTCATTTTTCATCACTAAATAATCAAGATGATTATTATAAAACATTATTTGGTATTGCATCATATAGACAAATTGATGCTAATGTTTGTTCGATTCATTTTTTTTTAAAATTTATTCTTTACTTTATTTTATTTATTTATTTAGACTGTTACTAATAAAGATGCTGATATAACATAAAATTCAATTCAAAAAAGTGTTTGTCTTATTTTACGTCGAATAAAAGAAAGAAAATTATTTTTATTAATTAAATAATTTTTCGACTAATGTTTAGCCTGTTTATAGAAATCTAAGTGAAGAACTTAAATTGTTAACTGAAAAATAGTTTCAAGAAAAAAATTTTAATGATAGAAATATGTTTGAAGAATTTGTTGATAAATTAAATAAAAATCCTCCTCAATTTAATTTAAAATATTATTCTGCTCGTGATCTTGTTATTCGTTATCGACGTAAAACACTTATTCTTTTTAAACTTATTTTATTACAAAAAAAAAGTTTGTTCACATTTATTTATTTATTTAACTTTATTTATAAAATAGGTTTTATTTATGTTATCACCTATTCAATCTTTAGTCCAAACAATAATCAATCTTGTCTCATTAATTCCTAGTAAGCTAACTTTTCTTTTTTTTTCAATCACTTCATTTGCATATTTATTTAAAAAAAAACAAAAGAATTATCAATTTTCAATTGAACATTGCATTTAAATAAATCAATTAACTTTATTATATTATTTCTTTTAAGAGTCTTTCGAGAATAAATTTATTTAAGACTTTTTTTTTACGTGCAAATCATTCGTAAGAATAACAAAACGAGCTACATACCAGAGACCGTCACAGGGTGCTTTTTTTGTGCCCTGTCCTGCCCTTTGTCCTGTTATGCCTTGCCCTGCCCTGCCCTGCTCTGGACGATAAAACATAACATATTTTTTGCCCTGTCCTGCCCTCAGGGCAGGGCAGTACAGGATAGGGCGCCCTGAGGGCCTTTAAATTGAATCTCAACTATAGGATGAATTTATGACATGATGAATAAATCTAATGGGTTTTATGTTCATTATATATGTCTTATTTAAGTCATTTCAACAGAATATAATCCATGCGTAGGAACAATCAAAAGTTCGTTTAAATTCTATGAAAACGATACTGTTTTTATATAATTATAATCCTGCTGAGATCCTATGTTAGTCTTTTTAAGTTGTCAATATTATTTTCAAATTTCTCTAGTCGATTAAGATTGAATAACTAATTTAAAAAAATAAAAATTGATAAATATTTTTGATTAATGAGAAAAAATTTTGAAATCTTATCAGTGAAAGAAAACGAAATAATTGATCAAAAGTTACACGATAATCGAGCGAAAATGATGTCATTTGAGTTTATTCTTTGTAAAAAAAATAATTGGCTTTAATCCAGTATCTTCACTTCTCTTGTACGGATCCAAAGAATAAGCAGGATGACTGCAGAAAAATCAGATATTTATCAATGAACATAGAGATTGTGATCGACTGAACGCTATCATTTTATCGATTTGCAGGTTTTCATCGCTACTTACCAAGAGGTTGCGATTTATTTTCTATCTGTTATAAATACTTTCGATGTGATAACCGTGGTTAAACTTTTCTGAAGTGGGGAGAACTGTATTGTACAATGATAAATCAGAATGAGTATCAAATTCATTAGTTCTGATGAAACCAATTGAAAAGACAGGTTCATCACTGGTTGATGGAATTCCATCGATAATAGATGTTTTGAAAGATTCCATTTAGCTTCGAAAAAGGCTTCCAAATAAACTTATGTGAAAAATTAACAGGGCAAAAAAGTTTGCCCTGTCCTGCCCTGTACTTTTCTTTGGTCGCCCTGCAGGACAAACAGGACAGGGCAAAAAAAGAAGTTTGCCCTGAAGTACAGGGCAGGGCAACAGGGCAGCCCTGACCTGATGACGGTCTCTGCTACATACAATGACAATTTTAATGTTCTTTAGTAATCCATAGTCATTTATTTATTTCATTTATACGAAACAAATGTTTTATATAGAAAAAAAAGCTCGAATATATCTAAAGAATTAATCATCTTGATTATTTTAGGATTTCTATTCTCTAAATAGTAGAAGGTTATTATATAGAAAATAGACGGTCGATAACCAACCTTCCTCTCTCTCTCTCTCCCTTAATTAACAGTTGAGTTTAGATTTGAAAAGAGTTTGAAATGATTTAATAATGATTAGAAGAGAGTCAATGTTACCTATTGAAATCGAATAATGAAGACTAATCTCCTTTCCCTATAGATAAATCTATTCTGATTTATTTATTAATTAATAACAAAACAAAATTTGTCAAATAATATGAAAACAAAATCTTCTTGTTGATAATTTAATGGAATAGATGTTCTATATTGAAAAAAATCAATTTGTTTTATCTATTGATATATAAAGAAAAAACGTATTTTATCAAAAAATCTTGATCATTTTCAATTAGTTTTATTTGTAAAAAAGAATTTCCTATTAAATAAAAATCTCTCGAATAATAATATATTAAAAATAATATAAATAGAAGTTAATTTGTTCCTAGAAAATCTTAATATTGATTTACTTATATATATATTATCTTTATCAATGATAAGATTTTCGAAAAATAAGATAAACAAATATATTCATATTAGATTTAATATAATTGTCTTTTTTTTCTTTTCATTAAATAAACCTTATTAGAAAAGCAATCTTTATTTGATAAAAACAAATCGAAATAAATATATTTCTTATATATTCGAAAATGTCTAAGAGAAAAATCTTTTTAAAAGCAATCATCTCCGGAAAACATTCGAAAAAATCCCAGAAACTGATCAGTCGTTGTGATGAAATTTTTATATTGACATATGATTTGGATAGAGGGACATTCAGATCTATAATTCAAGACACAATGCTAATTGTTATCGTTTCACATTCCTAACGTTGAACCAACGAAATTATCTACTGACTTACTCAAATAATACAAAACTGTGCTGATTTTCAGCTAAATTTTGCAACTTTTTTTCAAAATTTTATCAGAACTGGAGACCATTTTCATGCATTTTTTCAAATGTTTTCCGAAGATGATTTCTTTTAAAAAGATTTTGTCTTAGACATTTTCGGAGAAAAAGACGGTCTCGTGTCTTCTCTTTCGATTGCTGAAAATCGCAGGTCTCTAACTTGTTCCTATCGAAAGTTATTCGAAAAACATCCGAGTGCACTGACTTATGGCGCCGATATTAGTTTTCGAAGAGAGTACAACTGATCCCTTGAAGTATTTCCTACAGAGAGAGCATCTAAAATAAGGATAGACGTGTTCGAAGAAAAAAATTTTAAACAATCTTTTCGCCATTTCTCAGGAAGAACGATGCTTTTCTATAGGACCAAATCGGATTCGCTTACGATTCACACCTAATTTGATCCGATCGGGCTAAAAATTTCTTTGGAGATACCTTAGACTATATCTCAGAGGTAGTTTTAAACTTTTTTGAAAAATCTCTCTTTGTTTGTTTTTTATGAGAGCAATACGCAAAGGGTTCGGATCCAAAGTAGGGATACTGCCGTTCAGGATCCTATAAATCCGAATAACAAGGTCAAAAACAAAAATGGTCAAATCTACCTATAGAAAATACTTCCAAGTATCTATGGGAAAAATTTCAGGCTAATCAGGCAAAGTTGGACGAAGATCGTAAGCAGGCACGATTGAGAAAACTCCTATTTTGCGTAACGCTAAGTAAAAGAAAAAGAGTTTCGATAGCATTCCAATGAAAAATAAATTTTTTAAAGTTTGGTAACTTTTGCAATAGTAACCTATTTAGGATCGAATGATGTCTCGAATTGTTCATGAGACATGGCCTTATCATACGTTATGCCTAGCTCGAAATCGGGGTTTTAGCAAAAAAAGAGGAGGGGAGTACTCTTAAATCAAATAAATATAATAAATCATATTTTAAATATTATTTTGTTTGCTTTTTATTTTTAAATCTATGCAACTATTTTAAATAATATGATCATCAAAGTTTTTTATTTATTGAAAATTATTTATTATTTATCATATTGAATTAATCGAAATTTCGAGTATTATTCAAGTTAAATACATAATCTATCTAATAAAGAGCATCATAAATCATTTAGAATATTTCTACAATTGAACTTCTTACATCGATAGATATTAATGAGGATAGTCTTTTTTTTTTTAAACATTGAACATTTATTTATTATTTCGATCATAAAAACGATTAGACCGATGTAACAATAAACAAATCTGATTAAGTTCTGTTTCTTATCAAAACTTTTAAGTTGAAATTTGAATATGAGTTTTTGTTTGACTTGTCAGGTAAACAATAGAATTAACTTGAAAACTCTTCTCAAATTTGTCTATATGATAAACAAGAGAGATTAAGAATAGAAAGTCTTTTTCCTATATTCATAACATGATTTATATAAAAAATAATCAATCGAGTAACGAATAAATACTCAGATGAATCAATGGTAACAGTTTTATTCTAGAATCAGTTTTATTTTCGTCGATATTTACTCTTAAATAGATTGAATTTGTTTGTATGTTCTTCTTAAGAGAGATATTATATCGAGATAATTGAAATAAAAAGAAAATTTTCTTAAGAAATTTTTTTATTGACAAAAAAAACACAAAGTAAAATAAAAAATGTTTGTTAAGATTTAATTGAAACAGGTTTAAATGAATGTACATTAATTGGTGAAAGAGGTGATATTGAAAATGAAATAAATTTAAATGAAAATAAAGATATTGTTTTCGAAAGAAATGATGATAAACAAATTGATTTTGATAATATTAAATTAAAACCATTAAAAATAACTAGTGATGATGATAATGATCAATCGGCAAGAATATCAAATGAATTTCAACAAACAATAAATGAAGATATTAAAAATAATTTACTTAAAAGAGCTACATCAATAACAAATAAATTAACAGATACTTTTAATCGTTTAACATCATCATCATCAATATCAATAACAATAAATAATATTAACAATAATTATTCAATTGATCAATATCAATTTTCATATGATTTATTTAAAAAAGTATTTATTATTATTATTTGATTAAATCTAAATACTTATTTTATTTAGAATAATCTTCTTCATCTGTATATATCAATATATAGTCTTGATATAATTAATAATCGAAATATAAATTCATATTTAATTAGTAGAAGTAATCATTTATTTCGTCAACAAAATAATATTGATTTTATATTAACCGATTATGATGAAGATTTTATTATTCAATAACCATTATTAAAACAACAATTACAATTAACAACAGCTGATTTAAGATTTACTCAATTATTTGAAGATTCACAATCAAGTTTGTTTTTTTTTTATATATTTTATTTTATTTTTTATTCTTTTCTAAACAATAAAATAAGATGTCCAATTTGAAGAAGAAATACATCGTTTATTTAAAATTTATCTATTATCATTATTATGTGTAGCTCGAACTCTTAGTAAGTCATTTATTTCATATATTGTTTTTTTAATGTTTTTTTAAAACGTCAAAGATGATGAAGCAATTAATAATTTTAATCGATTATTTGTTAAATCATTTCAATCAACAGATGCATTCCATTTATGGCAATCAAAAGGACCTTATCTATATATTGATGAAATTCTTTCACGGTTTTATTATTTTTATTTATTATTTTATATATATATATATATAAAATTCATTTTTAGACATCCACAAGCAGGACAACTTAATGTAACTGATGTTAAATTACGTTTTGCTCAGTATGTATTTATTTATTTATTTCCTAAAATAAAATATTGTTTTAAAAGTGTTCTTGATGATACTGAAACTGGTAGAAAATTAAAAGGTGCATTTGAAGATACATCTCAATTTATGAGTGAAAAATTTCGAGCAGCAACAAAAGTACCTGGACAAGCAAAAAATTCTCTATTTACTTCAGTTATTGCAACATTTAATCAAGGTAAACAATGGTTATCAAAAGGTCAATCACTATCTACATCATCGGATTAAATATATATTTTTGTCAAATAATTTTTTCATCATGTCATTTGTTTTCATCTTTTTCAAATATATTTATCTTCATATTCAAATATATCTTCATCTTTTTTTTTCTCAATTAAATTCTTTTCGCTTTTATCAAATTCATTTTTTTTTCAATATAATTTAATATGAAATTTCAATTTATTTTATTTCAAAATCGATTTCGATATTCATCATTAAACAATTCTTCTTCGAAAAAGTAATATTTTCAATTCTGATTAACTCATTTAACATTTATCATCAAATAGATATTTAACACTCTATCGATAATAATTATTAAATTCCATATACGACAATAAAACAACCAACTTTAATAATCTCTTTCTATATTAACTGAATTACCGAATAGAACGTTTATCCTATCGAATAGATTTAATGCGAATTTCATTCTGAGTCACGTTATCTCACTTATACACGTTAACTCATATGGATCTTGAATATGATTAAATCGAATTTTCATCAATCTTCGAGATTACATGAGAAAAGTTCGATCGTTGATATTAGTTCAACTATTGTTGGCGACAGAATTAAGTAGGAATGAGTTTAAGACAAATATCTCGAGAATGACAATAGATAACAATCTGTGGGTTTCACAAATCAAAAGAGTTCAAATCAAGACGTCTTTTAATATAATATTATACAAGATGAAATCATTATCTAATAAATCATCTTTAGGAATCTTTACAAAAAATGTACAATAATATAATGTAATTAAAAGGAATTTTCGAGGCAACGACATAGATGCTAAATAGATGGAGTTGAGATTTGTATTCCTATATATAGGTTAGATGACTATCTTCTCCCTTCCTAATACTAATCAAACTTAAAACAAGTTCATGATCGATGTATGAATAGGTAATTATTTTAATTTAAGAATAAATTTTTATTAGTTATTTATGTATTAGAAAAAAACTTGTATTATTATGCGTGACTTGATTTATTTATAATTGACATATTCATTTGATAATGTCTGAAATGACGAGAAATACATCGAGTGACGATACATTAATATGTGATTCTCAATTTAGAACGGGAGGCGTGTGTACTGTCAGTTGAATTGACTGAACATGTTCAGGTGACATGATCATTCTCATCGAGAGACTAATCAATTTAAAATATGAGTGACCATTGGCGTGCCTAGAGCAAGTTATTTAAATTTCAACGTATATGAAATTTAGATATAAAAATGAATCAAAAAAGGTTTTCTTCACTATTGTAAGGACAAAATATAGTATTGTTCGGATCAATCTGGCGGTTTTATCGTCTTATCGAAAGTCTAATATAAATTCTTTATAAAGTATTTTAATAGAGAATTTAAAGATAATTATTCTTAAAAAAGAATTAATTTTACTATAAAACAAGCTTTTCCTCGTTTCGAAATCATGCTCAAGTGCTGAGAACAAGTAGCTAAGTTAAATCGTGACTCATCTGTAGAGCAGAAGAAGAAGAAGAAGAAGAATTTTCCATAGCAACTAAGCTATCCAAAAGCAACAAGTCGGCTTCTACACTTCGTACAGTCAACCGCCTTAAATAATGTCATGTCATTCGTTCATTCATTTATTCACTCATTATCTATTTACAGCAGCATTGGACGATATAAAAATATATCATTGTTTTCATTGATGATACCCGTCAAATAGAATGAGCGATTAGTCTATAAATATAGAATGATTAACATTTATAAGGTTAGATAAATAAATATAGGTGAAAATAAACATGACATATTCATGTGTTCAATTGAATGATTTATCCGATGAAATTCTTTTGATTATTTTGAAAATATTGAACAATGTCGAAGTACTTTCCTCTTTATTCAATGTCAATAAGCGATTAAATAGAATTGTACATGATTCAATATTTACTAGTGATTTAACTTTATTAAAATATTTGTCGGATGATTCTACTTATTCATTACCTGATCCACTACTAGATCGATTTTGTTCGGAAATCTTACCCTCGATTGATCATAAAATAAAATGGTTTACTCTTGAATCATTATCTATGAAACGTATTCTTCTTTCTACAAATTATCCTAATCTCAATGGACTTGGTATATATAATATTAAAATGAAAGCTGCTTTATCTCTCTTTACTGGTAAGATACTTTTATTTCAAATAGAACCATATTAAAAATTATTTATTTTCTCAATACTTTTGTCTTTATGTTTAGATGCGATTACTTTTACTGATCTATTCAAAAATCAAATTTTATCATTTGTGATTGAAATTATTGACAAAAATTGTTACGAACCAAATATGAATATAATTATATTTACAAATATCTTTAAAAATTTTCCCAATTTAAAATATTTAAATTTTAATCCATCTTTTATTTGTGATCAATATATATCATTCAATTGGTCATCTCCAACCATTTTCTCTTCGACTTTGCTAACATTGCATGTCAAGGTATCGTCTGTTATCGATTGTCTTCATTTACTTGATGGTCGATTTAATCAACTTCATACATTCTATGTTCATACAGGATCAGCGTATTCTCGTCAACAATCCTTACAAATCAATAATAAAGTATGTTTTTATAAATTCTTAATTTTGAAAGAAATTTAAATTGATCAATATGTATTTTTCTAGGAAAAATTACCAAATTTAAAATGTTTTTCATTATCTTCTGCCGAGCAATTAGATTTGTACGATGAAATAATCATACCACTTTTACATCGAATGTCAAATTTAGAAATACTCATGTTCTATTTTCCAGTCTCCAAGAGAAAAACATTTATCGATGGAAATCATTTCAAGGACATTGTCAATCATATGCCACAATTAAACAAATTTTTATTTAACATTTGTTCATTTATTCATCTTAACAATAAAATTAATTTACCATCAAATGAAGATATTCAATATTCATTTAAAGATTTTAATTATAATCAAATTATTTCTTGTGTTAATTATTTTCGAGAGACGCAATGCGGTGAATGTCATATCTATTCATATCCATATACACTGAGACATTATTATTATATAAGAAATAATTTTCCAGGTGGATTATTTAAATGTGTTCGTCAAGTATCATTATATGATGAACATCCTTTTGAACATGAATTTTTTCTTCGTATTCAAAAATCATTTCCATTGATGGAAAAATTAACTTTATATAATAAGAAACGACAAAATAATAAACAATATAGAAAATCAAAAGAGAATATCGAACATCTATCGATCGTTGAATATCCTTATCTTACCAACCTTACTTTATATAATACTCATTATGATTATATTGAAGAATTTCTACTTGATACCAAAACATGTTTAACAAATGGTGTTTATCTCTCTCTTAATTATAAATCTTTAAAAAAAGTTACACGCAATTTTAAAAGAAATGCAACACGAATTAATTCTAATAAAGTCAATCGTTTACATATTTCTGGTGAATTCAAAATAACTGAACATTTGAAAAATTATTTTTCTCATGCAATAATATCTAATAATTATTATGGATTTATTTGAATAAAATTTATTTCTATAGAATGAATCTATTAGAATAGAGAATAAATATTCTTTTATATTTGTTTGAAAAAAATCAAAATCTATCTATATATGAGAACGATCACACGTAATGACATGGGATTTATAGAAAAATTCTAAAACCAAAAGTTCTATTGTAAGAAGTAATAAATTTTATTTTGGATAATATCTTTAATTCAACTGTCTTAGTATGATATAACATGAAATATGTTTTTGAGATTGAAAAATAATAAGAAAATTGACAAGTTGGGGAGAAAAAGCTGTTAGTGCAACGTTTATAGAATTAATATATGAAACAAAAAATGAATGGTTTAATAATAGAAGGAGGCATATATACAACAGCTCTTTTATTTCTCTAGATAAAATTATAGTTTTACTCTTTTTTTTTCTTCAATTCGGAAAAATATATATTCTTCACGGTACTTTATCAAGATATTTAATTAATGCTCGAAGTCAAGTACCATGAGTACATATAAATACTTTTTGATCAGAACGAATTGATGGTAGATATTATCATGTTGATAAGATAATGCATGCACAATTCCATCTTTTAAACATTCAGTTAATGGTAATAGACGTTTATCTATATTCTTGAAACGGCATAAAACTCGTTTTCAAAGAACTTCTTTGTTTCCTAAACTTAATATTTCGGATTGATTATTTCGTAGATTACAGAAGAAATATAGAAGATGATTAGTGAGAACCTCTATCGACAAAGATAGAGTTTCAAAATCAACAAATTATAACATAAAACTTGTTTCTGTTTCTTGCGGGTTTTTATTCCAGAAAATTTTATTCTCATTACCTAGTGCTTAATTTTACTCAAGATACAAAAAGAATAACTAAAGTATTTCTATTCAGTTTTTTTTAGGAAATATAGAAGAAATTCGTCGAAACAATCTTGAAGATAATGGCTTCTGTAACTGTAAATATTTTTTATCATGAAATGAAATAAAATAGTTTACATATTTAGGATATGTTAAAACACAAATTATTACTTTATATGATGGAATTGTATCAACAACATCATGTTAATATTAACAAAAAATTGGTAACTGTATTTCATTATACAATGTTAGAAGAAAATTTTTTGGTCAAGAATGATAATGATACTGTAAGAAAAAATATTTTATTATATTTTTTATTAAGAGCATTTATTTATAGAGTACTGTATTATTTCCTTGGACATTTAATCAAGATGGTCAATTATATGTCAATTACGAAAAAGAAAATATCAAGTTCACATGCATTATAACAAATCTTGATCCATTCAAAATCGATTTTATCAAAGGATCCTATCGTTTTCCCTTCTGGTTAAGAGATCAAAAAGAATATTTTGTTGATAATGAGTACGTTTTCATAAATAAAATTTTTTTAAAAAAGTCTATATTTTTAGTACGATCTCTTATGTTCCAGGATTAATGTGTGCTTTTCGAAAACCTGTCGAAGAGTTTTTTACGTATGTTTTAAATAATATTCGTACGATTGATCCTCATCCAACAACAACTCATGCTTCAACGTACTGATAATTATCGATTACACATTTTTTCTTATTACAATCACCTTGGACATCTTTTTTTTTTGGACTTGAAAAAATCTTTCTAGGATTAACTAAAACATATCATTTTTTTCTGTTGGATCATCTATAAAGTTTTTTTATTTTTATCTTGAAGAATATACATTTATGGGTTTTTTACTTGAGATACGTTATATTCTCGATCATCGTCGTTATTCTCTTCAATTAGAATTTGCACGTATTCATCCACAAGATTCTTTATTCCCTCGACTGAAGGGAGGGTGATACGGAAAAAACCTAAAAGCGTTTGTGGCGGGCTTTGTGCCGGGTCAAAAGAACACAAAGGTCAAAACAACACTAGATCACGAAATCGGACTTTCACCGTGAGAAATCACCCAATCCGAGGTATTCGAACTCGCTCTTTCGACCAATCACATTCTTTAGAGCTAAAAAACCGGCCAATCAGGAACTTTCGACCTTGGGCTTTCGACCAATCAGATTCCTTTAAGCTAAAAAAGCAGCCAATCAGGAGTTTTCGACTTCGGACTTTCTACCATTCAGATTCTTCCAGGCTAAAAAACCGGCCAATTAGGGGTTTTCGGCATTGGGCATTCAGCCAATAGGATTTTTTTATCTCGAAGTTCCAGCCAATCAGGGGTTTTTCCGTATTGGGCATTCAGCCAATCAGTTTTTTTCATATTGAAATTCCAGCCAATTAGAGGTTTTCAATATTGGGCTTTCGACCAATTAGATTTTTTCATATTGAAATCCCATCCAATCAAGGGTTTTCGATATTGTGCATTCAGCCAATAGGTTATTTTCATATTGAAATTCCAGCCAATCAAAGGTTTTTGATGTTGGGTATTCAGCCAATAGGATTTTTCATATTGTAATTCGAGCCAATCAGTGGTTGTAACTTGAAGGAGCCAATGTAAAACGGTATTTGTAAATGAGGTCACAACTTTAACGGTACATGGAGAATAACGAACTATTGTTTTAATGTATTCAAATAGTGGAGCGATTAGCCATGAGTGGCGCGCCGTAGGAGCGCGGATAAACGACTAATCGCTGATATTGCAAGTGCATTCCTCATACGCTCCGGAAAAGATCTATATGAAAGCTAGGTCCATTAAGAATACTGTACTAAGATTCCCTTCATTAGGAATTCTAATAAAACTGTGACTTTTCAGCTAGACAATTAGGTTGAAGAAATAAGGAATAGTTCATAACAAAGTGTCGATTCCGGACTGCCCATCGAGAATTTTCATGTTATAAATCTAACTTTTTTTCGAAGTAAAAGCAGCCTGGAATTTGATAGAGTGTAAATCAAAGAGAATGATCTTACTGGAGAATAGGATTACACGTGGCAGCGACTAGCCGCTGCACTGGAAAATTCCCTGAAAGAAAGCTTCAGGCTGTTGGGATTCATCAGATAAATGTCAACAGTGCAGATCTGATGGATTTCAATAGGGGCTAGCAGTGGTAAAGAACTGAGAAATAATTTAAATAAAGTGTGAGAATGGCTTTTCTGCACGTGTACAATATTTGAATAGTACATTTCACGGAAAACATCACTCAAAGAACTTATATTCGCTGGATCGAAAGTAGCTATGAATGAAATAAGAGGGAGTTTTTCTGTTGGTATATGTTCTTGTTTGTGTTCATTCATGTGCGGGAATATATACGGGTATATTCAAATCATCTGTCGAGTCCAGCGGCTACCTCGAGTAGGAGCTTCTTTCAAGTATGATATTCGGATTACAGATCAGGTCTTATATAATTTATTTTAAGCTAGAAGTTTAACTAAACTTGTATTTTTCTAGCGGTGCTCTAGCAAACAACATTGTCGGCCAATGTGGTAGTAAGCATATGGATTTTTAGTAGAATTTTCAAGGAGTATGGCACGTTTTCACAATGGTGCCATGAATGCGTTTTGCTTCGTGATCCCTCAAAAAATTGAATATAATCTCTCTTTTCGGGAGCTTGCGAATACGGCCGCCGTAGTGTAGTTTATCTAGATTCCTGTTGAGTATCAATATGTGGATATCAATTTGATTAGATAAATTTATGACAAAAATGATCACAGGGACCTGCATATCATTGTACACAACGAGATTGACGCTAATTTCAACGTCCACACACCTATCCATCCTTTTGAAACGTTGGATACTAGCTTTGTTGAAGAACGTAAAGCAGTATATATATAACGCCAA